GATTCAAAAGTACATGATTTCTTATTTCTACTACTAGTTCCACTAGCTATAAGCCTTCAATTTTTAAAAATATTCCTACCTATGTGGTTCTGAGTTTTGGAGGTCTGCCCTGAATCTGCTTTTTCTGTGGTATTGCTAATGGTGACCCTCACTGCACCTCCACCCTAGCTGCTATCAAGCACTACCTTTGCCGTTCATTTTGATTTTTATAATAGTGTTACTCATCCTTGTTGCCTTTTTTTTTTAAAGTTTTTATTGTGAATTGAGTAATAGTTTACATGGCAGAACATGGATTTTACCTTGCTGCATTTTGATAAATAAAGCACAAAAGCCTTTGGTGAAATATTCCTTCCATTGAAAGTCACTGTGTTTGCATAGCTTCCTCAGCCAAAAAATTTGATTCTTCTTTTTATAATTTTTATTATAACCATCAATTACCTTCTTTTTCAATAATAAATATGCTTTTCCCCATTGCACATGCCACCCTTCACTCTTGGCTGCCAAATCTGGAGAAACACTATTTTACACGGTGACCCTGCACCTCATCAATGATTGAAATGGTTCACAAATTAAAGCAGAAACTTCCAAGTGTCCTCAATGGGGAAAGGAGCTCAGAATAACAGGAATTAGATCATTGCTGGAGGACATTCCCAGACCAAGTTAATCATGGAAGCTGAAGAAGACATCTTTTTCTACAACTCAATCACAAGTCAACACCAATGAGTCATTTAACGGATAACTCTTCAAAAAAAACAAAAACTGTTATTACAGAAATTTTCAAATATAATATTTGGACTGATAGACAAAAGTCACAGAAGTGTACAAGGATCCCCATGTACCCATCCCCCAGTTTCAATAATTATTAACTCATAGGCAATCTTGTTTCCTTTATATATACCTCACTCTCTTCTAAATTATTTTGATACAAATCTCAAACATCACACTATTTTATCTGTATTATTTTAATGTTATCTCTAAAGGATCTCTTAAAACACATATACAATGTATTATCATAACTAAAACACTTAGCAATAATTTTGTATATCTTAAAATATTTACTATAAAACTTTCAGGAGAAAATCATCAAGACCTAGAAGCAAGTGAAGAGTTGACATCAAAAGCACTATCCATAAAAAAATATAAAATAATAATAATTAAAAAAAAGTAAATTGGACTTTATTAAAATTTAACTCTTGCTCTACAAAATGATCCTATTAAGAGTATGAAAGACAATCAACCTATTGGGAGAAAATATTTGCAAATCACCTATCTAACAACAGACTCATATCTAAAACATATTAAGAACTCTTAAAACAAACAATCCAGTTAGAAAGCAAGCAAGAGGTATGAACAGACATTTCACAAAAGAGGAGATGTGATGGCAAATAGACATATGGAAAGACACCCAACATCTTTCTTTAGGCACTGTAGTTGTTAAGTGTCATGAAGTTGGTTCCAACTCATAGTGACCCTGTATAGGGTTTCCAAAGGAGCTCTGGTAGTGTAGTGGTTATGAATTAGGCTGCTAACCTCAAGGTCAGCAGTTCGAAACTACTAGCTGTTCCGCGGAAGTAAAATGTGGCTTTCTGCTCCTGTAAAGATTTGCAGCCTCAGAAACCCTGTGTAGGGTTACTATGAGTCAGAATCGACTCTACGGTACTTAACAACAACAACATACGGTTTCCAGGAGCAACTGTTATATTTGCATTACTGACTTTGCGATTAGCAGTCAAGTGCTTATCATACAGCGCCACACCAGGCACTTAGGAAACACAAATCAACAGCGTAATCAGTTCTCACTGTACACTTATTAAGATGACTAAGAATGATTTAGAATGATTTAATACCAAATGTTGGTGAGGATAAGGAGAAACCAGATTTCTGATACATTGATGTAAAACAGTACAGCCACTTTGGGAAAAGAACACAGGCAGTCTCTGGGTTACAAACGTTCCACGTAAGTACAATTTCTTAATGCAAGGCTTTGAATTGCTTCTGTCACGGCTGATGGAATGAAACAGGAGAGTAGAAGTGCCCCATAGAATTTCTGAGACTATAAATCTTTATGGAAGTAAACTGCATCGACATTCTCCTACAGTTCTAACTACACATATGATTAAATTGCAAAAACTACAGACGCACACACACAGATGTTGCTGTTGTTAAGTGCCATTGAGTTGGTTCTACTCACAGCAGTACTGTATCGGGTTTCCAAGGCTGTTAGTCTTTGTGGGAGCAAAAAGTCTCCTCTTTCTCGCACTGAGCGGCTACTGGGCTTGAACCGTTGACCTTGTGGTTAGCAGTTCAGTGATTATCCTACAGTGCCACCAGGACTCACACACAAATAAGTGCATGTAAAACTGGTGAAATGTAAACAAGGTCTGTGGTTTACACCTATGTCAATTTCCTGGTTTTGATATTTTACTATGTTGTTGTTGTAAAGTACCTTGAAGTTGGTTTGGACTCATTGTGACCTTGCACAGGGTTTCGGAGGCTGCAAATCTTTACAGAAGCAGAAAGCCTCATCCTTCTTCTGTGGAACAGCTGGTAGTTTCGAACTGCCGACCTTGAAGTTAGCAGTCCAATTCATAACCCCTACGCTACCAGAGCTCCTTTACCCCTGAGTAAAACTAGGTGAAAAAGACCTTTCCTACTTTTTCTCTTTTCTTTTTTGGTAAATTTCTAAGGATCTATAATTATTTCAAAATTAAAATTAAAAGCAAAACGCTTCACTAACCCTACTCTTAAAAAACCTTCTAAAAGAATTGTCTACATAACCAACAATCAGTCACAAATCCTATCAGTAATATCTTATTCAAATGTCCTTCCAGTTCACTAACACACTACAGCCAGAACTTTTGAAACATCAACATTTAAACATTCTTTCTTAAAACTCTTTAATAGCTTCCACTGCTTTTAGAATAAAATGGAATGTTTGATTAAAATAAAATGAAAACACCAGAGATAGAGGCAGAGGTGATGACATGGAGAGACTGAGCAGCTGAGACTAAACTCATGGAAAGAGAAAGGCTGTGTGCTGGCAGCCAGGAGGCAGGCTAGCAGAATGTGCCCTTTGGTTGTTTAAACAATTCCTGTGTGTTTTTGTGTACATCAGAAAAAAATAAAAACTGAGGGATAGAAGCAAATACTGTTAACTGAAGATGCATGGAGGGGATTGTAATCACTGCAATGAAACAAAGTACAATAGGTTGAGTTCAAAACCAATGTTCTCCCATGTAAACTATTGCTCAACTCACAATAAAAGCTTAGAAAAAAAAAAGATGTACAAGAAAATTTTATCATAATGGCATAAATACTAACGTTGTTGTTGAGTACCTTGAGTCTGTTCTGACCTGTGTAGGATTTCTGAGGAGTGACCGGTGGGTTTGAGCTGCTGACCTTGCGGTTAGCTGTCCAGTGCTTGTTCTGCAGTGCCACACCAGGACTCCAGAAGTACTAACAGCTAACATTTTTGATTCTTCACAATGTGTCAGGGATTATATACATGTTGTGCTTATTAAGACTTAAAACAAAACCAGAGGACACTGAGACATGGACTAGTGACGACTCCACAGCAGTAAATGGTTGTCCTGGACTCAGCATCAGCATTTTGTCCCAGAAATTGCTCTCTTCTCAAAACGCAAAAATGTTTAATCAAATCATGGGATACCCTTATAGCATAAAACAATATATGTAACAAATTCAATATTATATGTATGTCATTGTACACAATTGTATGTGTTGAATAGCAAAGATGTCAGCTTGAGGACTAAGGTGTGCCTGACCCAAGCCAAGGTATTTTCAATAACCTCATATGCACGCAAAAGCTGGACAATGAATAAGGAGACCATAAAAGAATTGGTGCTTTTGAGTTATGGTGTTGGAGGAGAATATTGAAAGTGCCATGGGCTGCCAAAAGAACCAATAGATCCGTTTTGAAAGAAGTACAGCCAGAATGCTCCCTGGAGGCCACAATGGCCAAACTTCGTCTCTCATACTTCGGACATATTGTCAGGAGGGACCAGTCACTGGAGAAGGATATCATGTTTGGTAAGGTGGAGGGTCAGAGAAAAAGAGGAAGACCCCCAACAAGATGGGTTGGCCAAGTGGCAGCATCAATGGACTCAAGCGTGGCAACAGTAGTGAGGTTGGTCCAGTAATGGGCAGTGTTTCTGTCTGCTGTGCATGTGCATAAGGTAGCTATGGGTCGGTACCAACTCGATGGCACCTAACAACAACAACAATTGTATATAAAATATACAATTTTATATATAAGCTATCAATTACATAAGTTCTGTATATAATCAAACTAATGGAAAATATAAGTATTTATTATCAACAACAAAAAATAGAATTGAAAACTCTGTAGCCCCTCTTCACCCTTATTCCACATCATCTTTTACACTAAGTTCCTGCCACATTCATATTGTCCACCTTCTAGTCCTCGAAATAGCAAAGAACTTTCCAGTCTTAGTGTCCTCCCTCAAAATCACCCCTCTAAAAGAGGGAAAACAGTGATTTCAAATGTGACCTCCAAACTTGACACTACAAAACGCAGAATTCTGCTGTTGCTTCTCACAAGGGCACCAGGAACTGGCTGATTGACACAGACCGGTTCCAATCTTCCAAGCAACACCAGGGATGCCAGCTAGTAACTAGCATGTTGATTGATTACAGTGTGCTCAATCATTTCATTCCCTGAACAGCTAGGAGAGACTCTGAGATTAAGAAACCCGTTCAAGATTAAACAACAAATGGAGGGATTGTATTTAAACCCAGAACTGTTCTGAGCTCGATTCAACTCAGAACTGTTCGAAAGAAAAATCAAATGCAACCTGAAGGTAGTTCCTGGGATCCCAGGTTGGAGCCGGACTCCACAGGGCCCCGACCTTCTTTCATTCATCTGACAGGAATGTAAGAGCAAGACCTTCGGTCCAACACTGGGCACCTCTCAGAACAGATGCAGCGAAGGCGGCCGGAGTGGATCAGGCGCCACTCACCTAGTACTGGCGCTGCGGCCATAGCAGCAATCTCCGCGCAGCAGCCATGGTCTCCGCGCCGACCCGTACGCCCCGGGGAGGACCCGGCCTGCCTGTCCGCAGGTGCAGCTCAAGTAGCTCAGCGTCCGCAACATATCCGGCGCTGCTTACCCTTCCGCAGCCACCAGAGGCGGCCACATGAGCCCTATGCTGACAGAGTCTAGGCACGCTCTAGCTCCGCCCATCCACGTCGAGGCCAATGAGGCGAGCGTGTGGGACTCACGTGGGAGCCTCAGGGCGTATGGACACTAGCAGCCGAGGTCGAAAGGCAGGCCTGCGCTGCAGTAGATGCGAGGGATGTTCGCTTGCTCCCTCCCTCCGATTCTGTGAGTAGAGAGCTAGGCCTTGAGCTAGGCAGGTTTCGGGAGGTTGTTACTTTCTGCCCATTTTCTGCCACTGGGCTGACTGAAAATCTGGTCCATACGTGTTCGGCTTTCACTGCCAAGAGGATTTGGGGTTGCGAGAGAAAATCTCGGCGTGATTGTGTCGAAAACTTGTTTGGGCGGGCCCAGCGGCCGTCCATCTTCCCTGTATTCCCCAGCCGCGGCTCTAGGCAGTGCTGGCGGTCCGCACTTGGCCTCTTGTTCTGCATTGGCCGGACAGCCTCGGAACCGCCGTTTCGAAAGGGTTGCCACTTGTTCGGCCTTTGTAGTCGTCCTTTTCCTTCCGAACGGCTTTGTTGTTATGTCAACGCCTACAAGCCTGAAGTGTTTTTATTTTTTTATGGGGTATCCTAGGAGCCCTGGTGTGACGCTGTAGGATAAGCACTGGACTGCTAACCGCAAGGTTGGAAGTTCAAACCCACCAAACCTTTTTCGGAAACCGTACAGGGGCTTGCTGTGAGTTAGAACCGACTCCATGGCACTTAACAAGAAGGGGTATCATAGGGGCCCTGGTGGCGCAGTGGGCTAAGTGTTGACTGCTGACTTCAAGGTCAGCGGTTCAAACCACCAGCTTTTCAGCAGGAAAAAGCTGGGACTGACTGCTTCCTTAAAGATTTACAACCCTAAAGAGCAATGCTGCTCTGATTTACAGGGTTGCTGTGAGTCAGGATGACTTCGTTGCAGTGGATTTTGGGTTTTAACACAGATATCGTTCATTCAATCACATATTTGACCTGCAAATATCAGACCCCTGATAGCAAGGTCAGTTTGAACTACAAGATCGGCGGTTCAAACTCACCTGCCTTTTCTAAGAAACTCTATGTACGGTCACTGTGATTGGAACCGACTTGACAGCAACTTAACCACAGCCAACTCTTCTCCAGCGGGTACGGGGAAACCGGTGAACCAGACAGCTCTCAATGTCCATCATCATTTTGGAATCTGTCTTAAATAGAAGGCCCAGATGCAATTTTAGATTGGCTGCATGGATTTGGGACCAATGACTTCCCTAAGCAAGTCACTTCACCCCTTTTCCATTGTCTTGTAAAATGAGGGAAGTGAACCCTGTATCTAAAGGGCCTTCTAACTGTAAAACTATGGATTGCCTTTCCCTTTACTTTTATTTTAACCTTTAATTTTAACCTTTACCTTTCCTTTGTGTTTGAAGGCACTTTTTCATTTCTAGAGCAGAATCATTGATATAACTTCATTGCTGGAAGGACTTTTGCTTGCCTGTTTGAATCCTGGCACATTTTCACATGGTGACTTGTTTGGAGCCTCCCTCAGAGCCACTTCTGTAACTAATAATAATAATAATAATAATGTCTTCTTAATAGGCTTTTCAATAAAACACAAGTAAACGGCTTGGCTTACTGGTGTTTTCTTCTTTCAGCCAACATCCATTTGATGTAAACAATGATATCTTTTGTTCTGTGGCTTGTTCTGCATGTTTACTCATGTTTTATTGACTATGCAAAAGCATTCGGCTGTGTGGATCATACCAAACTATGAATAACATTGTGAAGAATGGGAATTTCAGAACACGTATTTGTGCTCATGTGGAACCTGTACATAGGCCAAGAGGCAGTAGTTTAAACCAAACAAGAGGGTTTTGTGTGCTTTAAAATCAGGAAGGGTGTGCATCAGGATTGTATCCTTTCACTATACTTTTTCAATATGTTTGCTGAGCAAATAATCCAAGGAATTGGACTATATGAAGAAGAACAAGGCATCGGGATTGGAAGAAGTTTCATTAACAACATACCATATGCAGATGACCTAGCTTCCTGGAAGATGAAGAGTACTTAAAATACTTGCTGATGAAGATCAAAGATTACAGCCTTCAGTATAGATTAAAACTCAATGTAAAGAAAACAAAAATCCTCACCACTGGACCAATAAACAGTATGATAAATGAAGAAAAGATTAAAGTTTGAAGGATTTTGTGTTACTTGGTTTCATAATCAACACTCATGGAAGCAGCTGTCAAATCAAATAACATACTGCATTGGTCAAATTTGTTGCAAAAAAAAACTCTTTAAAGTGTTCAAGAGCAAAGGTGTCATTTTGAGGACTAAGGTGTGCCTGACCCAAGTCATGGCATTTTCAGTTGCCTCATATACATGTGAAAGGTAGATAATAAGACCAGAGAAGAATTGATGCCTTTGAATTATGGTGTTGGCAAAGAATATTCAAAGTAACACGGACTGCCAGAAGAACAAACAAATATGTCTTGGAAGAAGTACAGTCAGAATACTGAATAAAAGTGAGGGTGGTAACACCCACATATTTTGGCCATGTTATCAGGAGGAATCAGTTGCTGCAAAAGGACATCATACTTCGTAAAGTAGAGGGTCTGAGAAAAAGAGGAAGAACCTCATTGAGCCACATTGACACAGTGACAGCAATAACAGGCTCAAACATCACAGTTGAGGATGGTGCAGGACCAGGCAGTGTTTTGTTCTATTATGTATGCGTAAGGTAAATATGAGTTGAAGCTGAGTAGAAGACACCAAACAACAGTAGTTTTTTAGCTGGTTTCATGAGATAAGGCTTGTCCAGTGTTTAATACAGTTGAAACACTCAGTAAATGATGACTTTTCCCCTTCTAAACTGTATTTATTTGTTGCTACTGAGAATATACACAGCAAAGCATACCAATTCAAGAGTTTCTGCATATACAATTTAGTGACATTTATTACATTCTTTGAGTTGTACAACCATCCTCACTTTCCTTTTCTGTTATTCTACTTTCATTAGTATAAACTCACTGCTCCGCAAGGCTCCCACTTAATCTTTTGAATTGCTGTTGTTAATTTGATCCCATATAGGTATGCACTGGATGGCAAAGTCGGTTTGCTCCGCAAGGTTGGCTATTCAAGCTCACCAGCCTGCTACTCAAAAACCCTATACAGGGTCACTATGGGTCAGAATTGACATGACAGCACTTAACAACAGGTAGTTCTTAAAAGAGCTTAATGTTCAAGGCAGATTTGTTTTTTACTAGTTAAGCTAAACTATTCTTCAGTTTTTAGAAGACTGGTGGTGGTAACGGATGTGTGCTGTTGAGTCGGTTCGGACTCAGCGACCCTATGGCTTTTGAGGCTATAAACCTTTACAGATCAGAAAGCATCATGTTTCTCCCATGAAGCTACTGGTAGATTTGAATTGCTGACCTTTCAGTTAGCCATCCACTTCATAGTAACCCACTAAGTTACCAGGGCTTCTGGAAGAGTACAGGAGATAGGAGATATTTTTATTTTAAGGTTTAAAGATTATCTCAGGGGAATAGTTTCAGAGGTTCATCTACCCTTCATAACTCCAGGAAGTCTAGACTCCATAAAATTTGAAATTGTGTTCTGCATTAGCCACCCCCTTTTGATCAGGATACTTCTATGGTACCATCCATTTCTTCTTATAGCAAAAGGAGCAATTGTTCATGGAGGCAATTAGGGACACATTCCATATCCTCCTATTCCTGACTCCTCCTCCCTCTGTTGTTCCAGGTGAGTTGTTGTGCCTTGGATGACTACTTGCAAGCTTTTAAGACTCCAGGCAGTAAGCAATAAACTAGGAGGAAGAAAAAGCACTAAACATTATTAGGCTAGTTACCGAAAATGTCCCATGAAACCACGACACTAAACCTCCAAACCAAGGAACCAAATCCCATGAAATGTTTGACTGTACATAAGCAGCCTAAACTACTATGTTTTGGGGGGATCATTGTAAATATATCACTCAACTTTTGTCAGTTCAACTTATTACAGATGTACAACTTATTGACAGCAATTATAATACTTGTCTATGCACTCCTGTCCTTAATGTGATACTTCCATCCCCATTCACCCCCCATTTTTGCCTCCCTCCCATTCCTGGTACTAAACTGTGCTCTCTATACATTTGCTTTTTTTTGTATTTTTATATAAGTGAGGTCATTTAATATTTGTTCTTTTGTAACTGGCTTATGTTGTTCAGTATAATGTCTTCAAACTTTCCCCACATCCATACTGTAGCATGCACTGAGACTTCATGCCTGAGCGGTACTCTAGTTTATATATGTGTCACGTGTTGATGGGCATTTAGGTTGTTTCTACCTTCTGGCTGTTGTGGGTAGTGCTGCAATGAACATTGGTGTACAAGTCTCTGAGTACCTTCAAGTATTTTGAGTACAAATAGACCTATGAGAGGAATTGCTAGTGGAATGGTAGTTCTATTTATAGTTTTTTTGAGGAACTACCAGCAATTGATAAGGGTTCCAGTTTCCCCATGCACTCACCAACATTTGTTATTTCTTTTTCGTGACTGTCCTAGTGGGAATGAAGTAGTATCTCATTGTGGTTTTGATATGCATCTTTCTGATGATTAATAATGCCAAGCATCTTTCACAATTGAGTGTCTTCTTTGATGAAATGTCTATTCAGGTTCTTTGTCCATTTTATGATTGGGTTATTTGTCTTCGGGTTACCAAAGCTTTATATATTTTTTTTATTTATTATGTTCTTGATGAGTATATGCTTTCCAAAGATAGTCTCCCAGTCTGTAAATTGTGTTTTTACTTTTCTTGTAAAAGTCTTTTGATGAACAAGTTTTAATTTTTATGAGCTCTTATTTATTTTATTTTTGTTTTTTTTGGAGTTTGTGCTTTTGTTACTATGTTAAATTACCCCTTAGTGAAAGCCCCTGGCAACTTCTCCTAAGAATTTTATGGGCTT